CAGCTCTGTAGGCAAACACCTCACTGATTTGTTTCTGCACTTTTATCAAAGGTATATGCATAAAGCAGTGCAGGCCTGCATACCAATTTCTAAAGTAAGTGTTTAAGAGCATAAGAAACTCTTTTGAGCTTCAAGTAATAAACAACTAAACTCCATCCTAAAAAAAAATTTACTTCAAATACAGCATCATGTTGGAAAGGATGGGACTGGCAAGCCTGAGGGCTTTTACCTAGAGGAGAAATTTCATGCACAGAGATGATGGAAACTTGCAGCATCCTATCTCTCTGTGTACCCTTAGCCCTCCTGGACCGAGATTACTGTGTACCTTCCATAAGTATTCACTCGTTTTTTCTCCCTCTGAATCTCTCAAGAGAGAGGCCACTCACAGCTTTCATTATATGAGGGGTGCTCTTCTCAAAACTGAATGCACACAAATAACAATTCTAGATAATGTCTAATAAAATCCAGCATAGAAGAACAACTTCCAGGCATAAATCCTGTTATTTGATGGAAATATCCAATTTAAATATATAAAAAAGAGTCCAGATACCAAATCAATTTCACTTTACCCTCTTATCATGTAACATAAATTCCTTTGAAAGTCATTTCCTGCTCTACCATGTCCTTGAGCAGGTGCTGATTGTACAAAAGGAGCTGGGAGTGAAAGGCTTGACTGGGCACGAGTGTTTCCTCCAGGGAAGCCCCTGGTGTTTGTGTGGCCACTGAAGTGGTGAAGTGCAAACCCAGGCCTTGATCCTTCAGCACCTCCGTGCCCACACAGACAAAGTGCACCCCATATAGACCGAGCTAAACTGTCTGCTGTAGTTCCTGTTAGAAAATGAATTGTTTTGGGTTTTTCACAATGAAAAACGCTGCAGGTTAATTCTTGATTATTCAAAGCAATTTGTAAAGAAACAGCAACTTTCTGCATGTTTATCTGGTTTCTGCTGTCTTATAGAATGACTCCACATCATGCAATGCATTCCCTGTTTTTAAGGGGATCAAAAGAAATTTTTCCTGTGGGGTGAAGACTGTTTCCAGAATGATAACATCCTGACAATAATGTTGCACTGTGAAAAAGGTACATGAAAAAATTGTTTATCTCCGGCTCAGATACCTTCTCCCACTAAAAAAGTGTTGATATCCTGTTGATTTAGGAGAAGGAAAAATACCTTTTGGCTTGACTGTCCTCATATTTATATGAAAAGTGTAATATCTGTACTGAACGGAGTGTGAAATACACAATCCTATTTAATGTTATGTATTCCACTATTACCAAAGGCTTGAATGCCTTGGTTCATCATTCAAACTACAATTTTGGTTTGGTTCACAGCTTTTTAAGAAAGTCAAAGAAACAGTTTTAATATTTTATATGTTACTCTTAGATGGCCCAAATGCATATGTAGTTGTCTAAATAATTCACTTAAAAATCTCACCTATGTTCCTGTCCATTTGAGACAATTAGATGATAATTTAGATGCCTTTTACTGACTTTGGTAACAAAACTTTTTTTAATAAGTTCTTGGGTTTAAAAAGTGTCTAATACTTAAACTATGCAAAAAGAAATGACATAAATGTTGAAAACACATAATGATATTCAATTTAAACTTTTGAACAGGAAACTCAGTAAAAAGGTAATGATTCTGAAACAAAGGAAACACCTGTGCTTACAAGGAAAAGGGAGTAAGTAAAAGGAAGGAACCTCCCCTACCTGGGCATCTACTGCAGTTTTTATTACCCAGCGCTACAGATCTGACACTGATTTTCTTTAACATTGTTCTTTCCAAACCTTTTCTTCCAGATTACTGCTAATGGATTCTCTCACAACTAAGACACTTAATTTGCAAAAGAATAAAAGTGGGGAAAATCCCAAACTATCCACATTTCTTTTTTCCTGTGTTTCTTATACCCTCAGTAAAATGTCTGATACCTCTGATTATCAGCATCTTTTGCAGAGGTCCTGTGTCAGCAGGTCACTGGTAAAGGCATGTCTGCCCAGGGCTGTGGCACCCTCAGGTCATGGATCAGTGCAGTAAGTGAAAAATTCTCCTAGCAAAGGCCATTAATGGAACAAATAGGGCCAAATAAACAGAAAGCCACACTGGAAATAAATCCTTAGCTTTATGAACTGACTTAAAGACACAATCTTCCCAGAGCTAATCTGAAAGACACTGTCATGTGCAGGTTCCAGACAATTCTTGTGCAAGGCTGTCATGGTGTTGAGAGGCTCCAGATGCACTGCTCAGGTGCAGCTGTGTAAAATATTCCATGGATCCAAACAGGACTGAGACTGCAGCTAAGGTGTGTGCCATGCTCACCCACCACAGAAATGAGATCTAGACAATTAAATTAAACCTGGAATGACAATAAGCTCACATTCCTGGTCACTGCCCTGAAAGAATGAGGAGTCTCGTGGAGCAGATAGAGCCCAGAGCAGCTGGTATCATAAATTTTACTGTTCTGCAGTGAGAGTGATAAATGATTTCACCAGTCCAAGCTTCGCCCTCTTCCAAGGTCACTGGATTCCTCTCAGCAAAAACAATCTCTAGATTGTTGCACTCATAAAGGGAGCTCAGCAATAAAGTGCTCTGCCACATTTCCCTCTGCTCTGGCTGTGCTTGGGAGCAAGCCCTGGAGGGTCTTGCAGAGTCTTTTCTGCCCTGTCCCAGGGACAGCAGCTGGGCACAGCTCCATTCCCAGGCTTTTCTTAAAAAACAAAAACAACAGGGAATTGGAGGGTTTGCCCCTACAGAATGAACTGTTCTGAATGTGATATTTCCAGAGGTATGTCAGTGTCTAAATAATCAACTTAACAATGCAAATAATCAACTTAATCCACTCCTGAAAGTCTAGCCCAGCTTCTTTCCATATTGAATAGGATCCTAACTTGTTTTATGATGTGGTTTTAAAATATCCTGTGCTTTCTAAGACAGACAGCTCTGGGTATACAGTTAGAAGAAGGCATCATTTTACTACATTACAGTGACAATTTCTCACTGCCTGGTCTTCAAAACCATGCAAGTTCCTTCCTTGCCCATTATTCATGTATGTTTTATTTTCAGTTTATTTTAATTTACTCTACCATATAGGCCAGATGGAGCATGAAGAAGAGATAAAGCAGCAATTTTTATGAGGTCCCTTCATGACAAAACTTACAACAGTATCACCATGACAATATAAATTTATCTTCATGAAAGTCTGGGCAGACAACCCATAACAAACTTTATTTATACTTTAATCTCACTTTCTTTTTCAGCTATAAACAACAGCTGAAAATTGTGTGGAAATCAATTGACAGCAGCTGAATGAAAGGAAATTAGTCAAGCGACCCAAAAAAATACTTTGTGTCTGTAGTTTCCATCATGTAGGAGTTTTCAGTAGTAGTTAGGAAGGTTCATGGCCAAGTTACAAGAGTCACACACAAATTTCATTTATTGAGAGGACACTGGTTCTCTCTCATTGAAAAGACACAGAAATTGACTGCGCTCAATTTTCAAAATCAAAATATTTCCCAAAAACTTTGCAATATCATTAGGTTAGATGTTTATTACAGAGTTTAGAAATACAAGTCCATCTTCAGAACTCAGAACAGCCTTATCTGAGGTGATATCAGTTACTCCTGACTTGCAATCTTCAATATGATTTAATTTCAGTTTGTTTTGAGACATTGTAAGATTTCATACTGAGTACAGCACAAACTGATTCCAGACTGGTTAGTGTAAATGCAAAGTGAGTGCTATGACCACCACAGGCTTTCTTACTACACTCATCTGATAAACACGATGGAGATCTCATTTTTATATGCATTCAGAAGGTGAATAAGAAAAATAAACATTCCTATACCTACATCTTCAATGGCATATTTTGTACTCAAAGATAAGAAGAAACTTGCTTTGAAAAAATAGTCCTTGCTGAAGTCTTTCTTCTTTCATCCATATGATCCTTATCCCACCTAGAATTAATAAATCTATGAAAGGCAACTCTTATCTCTTTAATAATAATTTTCTTGCAATATACTCCTAATAATAAGGTGAAATTACATACAGCACAGCAGATGAAAGAAAAGATCTGCAGGTTGGATTTACAATATAAAAGAAGTGCCTTTCTGTATGTCAGCATTACTCTTTACTGAAAAGGTTTCCATCACTCCCATTGTGCTGATAAAGCAGATTTTAAAAAAATGATAAATGTAGAACTTTTAGGGAACTATATACAATGTCAGTCTCTCCACTGCCAAAGACTATAAACCTCTACTTACCATTTAAAGTGACTCAATTAAAAAAAAAAAAAAAAAAACCACAACAAAAAACCAAACAACAACAACAACAACAAAACAACAACAACAAAAAACAAAAAACCCAAAAAAACAACCCAGAAACAAACTACTGCATAAAATGACTCGACAAAGTTAACTCATTTCTCTCTTTCTATGTGGATCCTAATTAGAGTTGTAACAACTGCAAGTTGCAGGGTAGCTGCAAGAGATTTCAGACAGAATCTGGACAGCTGCTCTGGGATCTGGGAGGTTCCCTGTGCTGCCCAGAAGGGCTTATGAGGAGGGATGAGGGATGGGGGATGGGGAGATCTGGATGGTTCCCTGTGCTTCCTAGAGGGCTGAGGGATCTGGGATCAGGAATGGGGGATCTGGGATCTGGGTGGTTCCCTGTGCTGCCTAGAGGGGCTTATGAGGAGGGATGAGGGATCAGGGATGGGGGATCAGGGATGGGGAATAAGGGATGGGGGATCTGGGTGGCTCCCTGTGCTCCCCAAAGGGCTGAGTAGGAGGGATCTGGGATTTGAGATCAGGGATGAGGAATCTGGCTGGCTTCCTATGCTTTCCAGAGGGCTGAGGAGGAGGGATCTGGGATCAGGGATGGGGGATCTGGGTGGCTCCCTGTGCACCCCAAAGGGCTGAGGAGGAGGGATCTGGGATCAGGGCTCAGGGATGGGGGATCTGGGTGGCTCCCTGTGCTCCCCAAAGGGCTGAGGAGGAGGGGTACCTGGTCGAGCTTCCAGTGGAACTCCGCGGGGCGGAAGGTGTCAGCCAGGTCGAAGTCCTTGCGCAGCAGGAACACGAGGCGGCAGTTGTGCACGTACAGCGCGTAGTGGTGCCGGTTCATCTCTGCAGGGACACACCCAGCTCAGCACCACACACTGCCCTTGGTGTCTGCCAGTCCCACACACTGACAGCACCCAGACAAAGCAGAGACACCCCAAAGAGCAGAGTTTTCTCGTGCATCGTGACAGCTCTTCCTGAATTACGCTGTATCAGCTTTGTTCATGGAATCATCCTGTCCCAGCTAGTAAATCAAATCCAAATGCATATTTCGTCTAACTAGTTTCAGTGATGAATTAGAACTGTTTCTCCCAATCTAAATCATGAAAAAAATTAAACATAATTTAGTTATTTTATCCATCAATTCCTGTGAAATCTCTAGCTGTGTTATTCCAGCTGTGTTTGAAATTTATGTAGTCATCAGGCCTCTCAATAAGCTCTCAATTCAGCAATGTTTGGAGTGTCACCATCTGAGATTAGTTTTTTCTCAAACCAAATTAAATGAGGAGAGATGGCAACACTCTACTGCTGTTGATAATCGCTTTGCAGAACGTTTTTTCCATACACAGACTCACCAGTCTTGTCAGAGTTGCAGAGAATAGTCTCCTTCTCAGCTCTTAATCCAGGACTTGGTCCATGTTTCATCCACAGAGTGATGGTGAATTGATCAGTTAAATTTTTCGGGACTATTCCATCTGGGATTTTGGCTCCTTGCTTTCCATCAAATTTAAAAATGATGTCATTGTTATCCATGAGGAGCCCAGCTGTCCAGTTGGTCGTTGTACTGGGAGATGGTAACAGGTCAATGGCACCTGAGGAAGCTCCTGCAAATCACATATCATGAGTAACACAATGAGAGACCAATGAAAAAGCTGTGAAGATTAATTTAATATGGGCCAGGGTTCTGATTCACACTCTTTAGACTATTTTACTACCCAAATGGTCCTACCAGCCTCAATGCCAAATCACTGAAACATTATAAAATAAACACCCACCATTGTAAACCAGCAAGCGTTTTCTAGATTAAATGTATTACACAGAAAACTATAGAAAATAATGTAGAGTTATCTTTCTCAGAAATGTTCATTATTTTCTGATATTCATTAATGATATTTCTTCAGCTATTTCAAGATCTACGAAGAGTCGAAACAATTTTTCTTCATTTATCTTCCCTCCCTGGAAGCATGAAGGGATGTGGGGATGATGTGCTGATAAATACAGCACAGTGGGGATGGGTGCAGGACAGGCCCCACGGTGTCCAGCAGCCAGCTGTGGATAACCCCAGGAACGCTGGGAGGAGGGGATTCACCCCAACCAGACAATACCAGTGCAGGTTTCTGGTATATATTTGCTGTCTGGAGCTCCGTGTGTTCTTTAATGATAGAGTGAGATGGAAAAGACCGTGGTGCCAAGATTTGATAAAACAGCACAGTTCTTCACAGCTCTGTGTTTGCTTGCAGCTTAGCAAATGCCTGCCAGGCACTATGAAAACCATGCAAGGAGCGACCCAGAGCATTTACCTACTGGTGAAAGATGGCCTTTACCAGCAAATATGATTCCAAGAGTAAAAAGCACAAAAAATCTTTGCATTCCTGTTGCTGCTTTGTCAAGAAACAATATGGTGAGCAAACTGTGATGGCATAAAAAATGCCCTGCTAAGATGTTCTGCCCTCCTTCACCATCCAAGAAGAGATAAAAGATCCCAAATCTCTGCAGGAGTGCAAAAATTTTAAGCCAAAAATGTGTAGAATTGTTTCATACCGGCTTTTTTAAAAAAAAGGTATTACAGTAATGATTTGGAAAGATTCACCTTATTCTGTAACTGAATGTCTTGGACTCTTCGCCAAAATTTATTACTGTAAAATGAGGCTATTTTGAAGTGATATTTTGAATACCAAACCTAACACCTACATGTTCATAGTTTGGGCATGGAGACAAAAGTGTATTTATTTTACAAACTGTAATTCTGGATAATATGGGACACTGCATTTGTGCAACCAGCACCAAGCTCAACAGGTTCTACTTTATCTGCCCATATTTGTACAGAGATTAATGGCTAAGTTTGGAATCTCATCCTGTTAGTGTGTTTCAATCCTGCCCTGAGAAAAACAATTGGATTGTGTGCTTGGGAGATTTGGCTGGAATATAACATGCTTTTCCTATTCTAATAAATCCAGTCAGAGTCCCAGCCTGCTTAGCCATGTACAGAGACAGACCTGGAGCAATGCAAATAGGATCTCTCTGGAGATTTTCTCAGAACAGCCTTATCATGGGATCAGTGCTCTTCCAAAATGTAGTGCCTGATAGCCTTTTCTCACAAAATGCTTCCAGAACAATGCAGAAACTACTGCACGAAGCTCAGCTTTGGGCTGAGACCCCTGAAGCACCTCTTGCATATAAAAGTGCTTCTTTTCACCAGTGATTCATGCAGTTGGCCCCACCTCCTCTCCCAATCCTGCACATTTGGGCTCCAAACTTTGTGCCAGGGTAAGCACACAGGGATGCTGCTCTCCGAGCTGGACCAGACTGCTGGCTTAGCTGGAAATGAATCATCCAAATAACACCCAGCACAAACTGTCCTTTGCAATCAGATCAACAACTTTCTTTGAGCCTCTACACCACTCAGGATAAGGGAGAGAGGGCAGGACCCTAGCTGGAGCAGGGCCTTGAGGCTGATACTCAGTGTTTCCCTGTCTCAGTTTCCCATCTGCCACATGGGAGAATTAGCAATCCCATTATTTTCTATTTTATCTACATTTAAAGAGAAAGGAGACAGTACCAGAGCCATCTTTCCACTATATTTTTAGGCTCCTTAACCTATGCTTATTTTGGTGTGATTTATTCTGGTACGTTTTTGCAGTCCAAATGGTGTCTTTTAGACAGTCTGTACTTTCTAATATTGTCAGGTGACAAGGGGAAAAAATGCTTACTAAAATGCTTTGAGGGACAACACTAATATTTCCTTGACTTTAAAATGACTCAAGTGTAATCTAATAATTTAAACTGCCCACCTTGACCGTCCAAGGGAGTGCACATCTCTGGGTTATTGAAAAGCAGACTTGAACCCTCCGTCATATTAAAAATGAATTTTAATACACCCTTCTTAGCATCTGCCTTCTCCAGATCTCCAACAGATAAATGAAGAAATGAGGACAGGATTTATAAACTGGATCTTTAATTATACAGAGAGAGCCTTGCATTTTACAGGGTGCAGAGCTGTCTGAGTGCTCAATTCTACACTCTCTGCAATCACACAGTGCTTCACTGTACAAAAAAAATCAGGGTTTTCATCCTTTTCAAAGGATTTTATCATCCAACTATCAGTTACAATAAGGTAATTTCTGGGAGAAAACTATTTCCAGAAATAATTTAACCTGCTTTCCTAAGAGTGCTCTCTACACTAAGGATGGTAATAAATACTAAATAGCAAAGTGCAGGCTAGGCTAAATACAATTCTCATGTAAAGCACATTGTCAATTATCAAAGTCCTGTTACAAATTCCTACCATGTCTGCTCTCTATAAAGATTCAGAAAACCTGGACCAAAAAAAAAATGTTCTTTCAGCAGTGAGAATTTCCCTCCTGTTTATATAGATTCTCACACTCTTACCTGTTCTCTCAAGTGCTTTCCATTCTGTTCCTTCACGCCTGTGCTGAAGTTAGCACAAGTTAGTTAGCAGTGATGTCTGTCCACTGTCAGTGCTGCCTGCAGCCACCACAGCTCTGGCAGGCCTGAGAAACTCCTGGAATTCTCTTTCCTACTCCAGGGTCAGCAGGTGAAGCAGTCAAGCCACACTCTGCAAACTGAACCCCTTCCTCAGCTAAGGACTTTCACACCAGCTGAAGGTACCTTCTTTCAGCCCTGCACTTGAAATGATAATAGTGTTGATATAGCTGCCATCAGTGTTTGATTTCAAGCTAATAATTTCTCAGTGACCTGCACTGAGTGACTGTGCCATTTACAGTTCAGGTCTGTAACAGCACAAAGCAATGTTCTTTTGGCTACCAATACAGCTTCTTGGAGGAAAAAGTATTTGACTTTAAGTATAGCATATTTATTTTTATTAAAATTCTAGTATTTTATGAAATCAAGCCTTGCTCAGCCTCTCAGATTTAATGTCATTACCACGGTTAAGATGCATATTGGGGCAGGTGGATTTTCATCTGCTCTTCTAGAACCCAGGCAGTTGAATAAAGACACAGGATTGAAGTCAAGATTGTTTCTGTGATCTTAACTAAGCAATTTTGAGGCTGAAAACATTCAGATTTTATGACAATGCTACTACTCCCACCCACCTTTACCTCCCTTTCTCCATCTCCACTGATAACTGATAATTGTAACTGCCAACTGTTTTTCCCTGGAAACTGCTTCTCCATTTTTACTAATTTAGTAACACTGGCAGAAATTTTTCATTTACAAAAATTATTTCCTAAAGGTTAGTGCATTGATCTAAACACCTCTGCTGGGTGGTCATCAGAGCAAAGCAAGCCCTACACCAGAGCACCCCAAACCAAAAAACCATGCATTTAAATGGAAAAAATTGCACAATTGCTACTGTAGCTCAGACAGAAGCCAGGCAAAAAGACAGAGAAGATGAGAATTAATGTCCACACCATCAGGGCTTCAGAAAAGGACTCTAAAGACAGGATATTAAAATAGGAGAGACATCTGATCTCAAAACATAAAGGGATTATTTTGTGGCTATGGTTTTGTCAGATACAGTTTCGTAAAGTCTGAAAATAATACAGCAGTATCTTCAAGTATTTAACCTGCCTTTCAAAATTGACTTCTGCATTTTACATAAAGTTATCAAAAAGCACAAAAAGGGAGGAAAAAATTAGGAAATATTTCTCCACCAGGTTAGCTCTTATTTGAAGTTCATGTTTCTTAAATATTTTTGCTCAAATGATTGCCCAGAATATTGTTTTAATTTTTGTTTGTTTGTCCTCTGGAGCAGCACAGAGAAGCAGAACAGAAAGCTGAGTCAGGAAGACTGAAACACAGCAGAGAGATTCAATTCCCTTCAGAGCCTATGGTTTCCCTGTGATGGCAAATCTACACTGGAAATCTCACTACCCTGTCACAGCAGTATTTGTAGCAGAGGGAAGAAAGAAGGAGAAGGAGGTGGAATAATGAAGAAGGAAAAATCGAGAAGGGGATAGGAACAGCAGGAAAAAAAATAAAAGAAGACAGGGAGAAAGTATGAAATAGAGAGAAAACAAATGGAAAAGAAGGATGGAGCAGCTGTCAAATATCACCACTCTCTCCATTTTCATTGCTACAATCCAAAGTGAACCAGCCGAGCTAAATCCAAGTGCTGCATGCCTACAGGTCACAAGGAATTGGTGCCTTGTCTGCAAAAGCATTTTTATGTCAACTGAAATCTATATTCATACCACATAATTTCTGCAGAGATTTTTCAGAGTAGGTTTCACGATCACAGCCCTTTCCGATGTAGCTGGTCTGCAGTTCGATGGTGCTGTGGATTGAGGACACTGGTCCATCACACGTTTCCAGGTGGATGCTGGGAAACAGGGGTATGCTGCCAGAGCCCGGCCTGTATTCAATCCGTTTGTTCCAGTCTGGAAAAACAAACAAATCAAAAACCACAAGATCCAACGGGGAGCAAAAAAAGGGAAGGGAGTTATATAATTTCAAATGATATCTTGTTCTCAAAGGTCACTATAGGTCTCAAAGGTCTAAGGCAAAAAATAAGAGTTTCTGAACTTGACATCAATAGGCTGCTGTCCTAAAAAAAATTGGATTTTGGCCCTGTTTTTCTAAGAGTGTCAGGCTCACATAACACTACTGCTGGTTGAGTCACACAAGCAGGGGATACACACATCTCCTGACAAGAAGTGCTAATTGGAGTCAGTCTGGAACTGCAGTGCCCATCTTCCCGTGACAGACTACAAACTGACTCTGCAGGGAGGAGGTGTCTGCTGCACCCACCTTGGTCAGATTTCACAGCCTTGTGATAAGAACAAATACCTCCAAGGACCAGACTACACATTCAGTCTGATATAACACCTCTGCAGTGCCACTTCTTGTCTTTGAACATCTTCCTAATTTTGTGAAGCACTAATGACAGGAAGTTCCAGCTGAAAGGATGACTTGTGCTTCCAGCCAGATCTGACTAATCCATGCTTATGCAGATGCCTCACAGCCCACAACATTTAAACAATCCCTGCCTCAGGCAGCCACCTGTTTGTGCCACATATACCCCTGTGCTGCTCAACCGAAGCATTTAATGTTTGAAATCCAATTAATTATGGTGTTTGCAACACACTTCAGAGAAAACCCAAACAAGCAGCAGTAATTATAAACATGTATTTTAGCTGTCTTTACAGCTCATACTTTCATTGAGTCACAGAATGGCTGCAGCTGGAAGGCATACTCAAAGCTCACTCAGTCCATCCCCCTGCCATGGGCAGGGACACCTGGCACTAAACCAGGTTGCTCAAAGTCCCATCCAACCTGATCTCAGACGACTCGAGGGACAGGGCATTCACAGCTTCCCTGGGCAACCTGTGCCATGCCTCAGCATCCTCACAGGAAAAGAATTTCTTTCATATATCCAATCTAAATCCAACTTAAAGCTGTTGCCTCTTCTCCTGTCACTACAGGCCTCAGTAAAATCTTTCTACCTGTCTTTCTTGTAAGTCTCCTTCAAGTACTAAAAGGCCTCAGCAAGATCTCCGTGGAGCCTTCTCCACACTGAACAACCCCAACTCTCAGTCTGTCCTTAAAGGAGAGATTCTCCAGCCTTGTGGCCATGTTCATGGCCCTTCCCCTCGCTGCTCTAACAAGTTCAGATCTTTCTAGGTAAAAGGAGACTTCATAAATGGAAATGTTCTCGGTGCTGGCAGTCAACAAATGCCCTGAAAGCCAACGGACAGAGATTTGTTCTGAATATCAGTAGAAGAAAAACTAATAGTGGATACAAATATGTATGGGCATTTAGTAGGTGAAGGAGTTTGGTGTTTTCCAACAGATCTCATTTCAGAAAGCTTGGAAAATGGTGCTCTCTCCCTCGGTCTTAAATTGCATTAAATATTCACAAGTCTGAATATCCATGCAAACTTTGAAGTGTGAGGCAGTCATTAGTCCAGAGTCCAGGCAAAGATGCTACAACCACTGGTCTGCATTTCAGAATTCTCAGATCTTCTTCCTGGCATCACCAATTCGGTAATCATGCAGCATTTTGTTAACAGGAGGAAGATGAGACTTCCTGGAACATTCTGAAAGTATGTTTAGTATCTGTTTTTACCAAAATCTTTAGGACTGGTACATGACAACTAAGACAACCATGACTACATGACTGCCTCTGCACATATAACTGAGCTGCTATTTCAGTTGTAATTTTCAGGTAATTCACTCCATTTGTTCCATATTAAGTTAGATTAGATCTACAGCATTGCCTAATTTCTCTGCAACTGTCAGTTTAAACAGTTCCATTAGAATTTCAAGTACCATATATAGGACATCATTACAATAATAGGCTTCCGTTACCTCTCCATTGCAGAAATTTAAGGTTAACACCTTTCCAATAGAAAAAGAGCAGCAAATTCTTTCAGGTAATTCAGGTTTAAAAAAAAAGAAAAAAGAAAAAAAAAAGAAAAAAAAGAAAAAAAAGATTGTTGGTTTTATACAAATTAAGAATATATGAATTATTGGTCTTTACAGTCTCTTATTCACCAGTCCAGGCATTGTATTCATCTACCCAAAAAGGAAAATAAAGTCTTACACATATATCTGAAACCTTTCTGACTATCAGCAGCTTTCAGCCACATTTTCATTTCTCAGCCATACCAAATAGCTTAACCAGTACTCATGCAAAATATTCATCTGTGGATGTGAGATGTGACTGAATTATGAACTGCAAGGTACCTGCAGCTGCACACTCACCTCCAGCTATACAAGGAGGGTCCTATAAGGCCCATTTAAAATGCCACTGCTCACAAGGAAGAATGATGGGAGCCCTCTGTTTCTGCCACAAGAACTGGAAGAAGTCCTTCATTTAATGGTATTACCTTTCAGCTTGGCAGAAGTGGGAATTTGTACCCAGAGACCAAAAACCCTGCACCTCCGAAATCACTCGCATTTATCTCAGCTCTAAATTGTAAAACATCAATTAGACTTTGAACCAGTGTCTTTGTACCTTGGTCCACTGCATCACCATAGACCAGTCCTCATCCTGAACTGCACCAACACTTCCTTCACTGACTTAGTGCAGATTTAGGAATTCCACCAAGAAGTCCCTCTCCATGCCAAAGGCATTCCCAGGCAGGTGTGAGGCAATACTGGAGCAGGTTACAATCCTGTGATGGCAGAACCATTGCTAAAGGCAGCAGCAGTGCTGATTAAAACCAACTGGCTTATTTCCATAGAACCTCCCCCCAAGCACCTCAGCTCCCAGAGCTGTGAAACTGAGGCCAGCACCCTCTGCATCTCCCCACCAGCACAGGCAGCAATGCTGGGAAGTGCACAGAGCTGGAACAATAAGTGGTAGTAACAGTACAAAGAAATTATTGTGAGAGTAACCCAAGTCCCTAATTTGATTTTGAATGGGGTGAATACCATTATTTTGCTTTCTCCCAGAATAACATCCCACATTGGACTCACTCAAAAGATCAGCACTTTCCCTTCAGGAATGTGGTGGCACTTTTTTGTTTCCTCTGGAATGACTCAGAGGAAAAGTCTTATGTAACCTGAGTATGCAAAAGCCTCTGAATTTAGGTATTTTCTAGCTAAGTTTAGATACATAATCCCACCTGAACTGGTAGGCAGCACTTAGATTAGCTAAACCAAACCAACACAGTTCCTCCTTTGACACAAACTTGACCTAAGTCCTGCTACAACACCACATTACTTCAAACTTGGGAAAGTAAACACTGTCAGGGTAGAAGACTAATCCCAGGGGGAAAGTCTGTATGAAACTGAAAGTCTGAATAAAACCACTGTTTAGTCCTGCAGCCTTGTTTGGCTTTTATAATTCAACAGGCTTTTGCTTGCCACTTGTGGCATAAAGCTGCTCCAGACAATGCAAGACAGCCCCAGCTGGGTTATCCCTACAATACAACATTAGAGTGCAAATATCACCAGTCAAGCTTGTGGATCAGATTTCATCAATCATAAAGCAGCTAAGCAAACATAGATCTTGATCGCTGAGATACTCAAACTATCCCAAGATCAAAATAGATCAAACTTCAGTGACAGTTTGAGCCTTTAAAAGTAAATCTCAATGCACTGAACAAATTTTCCTCTTAACAGATGGAAAATGTAAAGACTTTCCTTGAGCTCTAAACTTAAGGTTTTCTGTACTCTTTGTGATCCATGTTTTATATTTTAATTAATTTATAGTGCTAGATGACACTAAGAAGGATTTAATCTGATTATTTTTCCTTGAAGGAGACCATGCAGAGGAGGTAAGATGTGATTCATGTCTCCTACATGTGTGTGGCCATAAACTTTGATTCCATTTCACGGTGTTAAAAATGATAGTAATGTAATTAAAGATAATTGTAACACAACGAAATGTGAAACTTCTCTCCTGTTGCAATGAAGATGTACATCTTGGCAGCTAAATGTAAGATAAAATTTATGTAGTGCCATTAGTGAGTCTCTGCAGCATCCCTACATAATTGCTGGAACAGAAGGTTCTCAGAGCAGTGTAATTGGTATCTCTTCTGTTTCCTCTGCAGCATCCTCACATCTCTGCTGTTTGTGTAGGCTATAGATTTGGCTAAAGGTTACTCTGGTGCCTTTTTTAATGTGAAATAAGATGAGTGACTTGTTAAGGAAATGATAATCAGGTCTGAGTCAATTAAAAGGTTTCCACAGCAAAGAGAAAACTCTAATGTCCAAAGCTCTGCTGGCTTGCTAAGAGATTTAAATGCACATCTCAAAGCATATACAAACATTCACATACACCTTTTCCTTGTGCAGCATGTTGGTAGTTTTAAAAAGGCAAACAAAAAAGAGACAGAAATTTGTGCTTAGTACAGTGGAAAGGCTGCTGCTGCAGGAGTTGATGAAAACAATGGAGCAACTGACCTACTGATTCTGAATATTCCATCAAGTAATAAAGTTCTCATACCTAATGGTGCTTAATTATGTGAAATAAACATACAAGAATCTAAAAACCATGAAACAGCACAGTTAAAGCTATTATTTGTTGTGAGATTGCATTTGAATAATGTATTTCCCTATTTCAGAGCCCCAAGGGCACTAATAATTCCTAATGAACTTCCACAAGCTTCACCTGGGGCCTCCATTTGTCCCCCACGGGCCTGGAACTCTGTTTAAGCTCAGGCTGGGCTGTGGGTGCTGGTCTGGCTCAGCCACAGCATCCCTGGATGCAGGAGCCAGCCCAGGGCTTGCTGCTCTGCCTTGACAGAGCCTCAGCACTGTGGACCTGATCCAGCCCAGTGACCTGATCCCAACCCTCACCCATGGATCTCCCTCCTGGGACCTGCCTCCTCCCCAGGAAGGGGGATTTAGCATCTTGACTGAGCCAGGCCCCCTTCTCTGGGTCTGCCCTGCTCCCCTCAGCAGGGTCAGGGCTTGGCCCTGGGTGGTG